GACCTGCACGCGGCGTGACTCCACGGCCCCTCGGCCGCGGAATGCCCTGGGCGAGCCTGGGAAAGGGACGAGGAAACGGGGGCTCCGTGTTTCACCCGTCGCGTGCCAGGACCTCCGGAGAGCAGTGGCTCAGCCCCAGCAGTGGCTCAGGCTGCTCCCATCTGCTGGCAGAGGGATTTGTCCGATAGCCGGAAAGCGAGGGCGGGATGGGAGCAGACGGCTCCATCCTCCAGTCCCTGCCCCCGGAGCCGGCTGCAGCCTCCGGCTCTCTCCCCATGCCGGTGCCGCTCTGCCGCAGCTGCCTGCTGCAATTGCTCCCACGGAGCCAGTAGGAGTCGAGCTGCCCACGGAGCTTCGGGCTTCCTCTTGCCCCCATCCTGCACTTACAGTGGAGGGGAGTTGGAGCCAGCGGAGCCCCAGGAGGAATAGGCAAGGGATGCCTGGGCACCCCCCGGATCATGCAGGCGGAGAGCCCTTGAGCAGGGATCTCCACCGCAGTCTGCCAGCGTGCAGCCCTTCTCAAAGCTGCTGCTTGGCAAGGCAAAAGGAGCCGCCAGGCAAGTGCACCTTGGATTTTGTTAAGACTGAGCTGGTAAAAAAAGTGTATTATGTATATATATATATATATATGTTCAAAAAAGTGCATTAAAAAGTGAATAAAAAAATTGCAATCCACATGAAAAGGTGCGGGGCTGCAGCAGGAGCAGCGCTGGCACTCAAGGCACCCGCTCCATGCGGACAGCTCAGCGGGGCCGTGGTGGAGGGCAAGGGGATGCAGGAAAGAGCAGCCTGCCAGCAGCGGAGTGGGGACGGCCTTGGGGACGGCCCGTGCGGCGTGTCCCCTGCGGCGTGTCCCCTGCACGGTCCCCGGCGCGCTCGCGGCGCAGGCGGACAGCAGAGAGCAGTGTTCGGCAGGGCAGCGGCGGGCCCGGTGGCGCAGGGCGCTGCACCCGCTGCGAGGCGCTCGCTGGGAGCCGCGCGGCACCCCGGTACCCTCGGGGCAGGTTGTGCTCCCTACCGGAGATGTCCGGAGGACCAGGCTGCCTCACGCTCCCCAGCAATCTTGGCCAGAGTTTTCGTGAGGGCATCTTCCTCGACACCACGGGGGCAAATGCGGAGCCCCCCCCCATCCTTTTGCCTGCTACAGGTCTACTGAAAACCCCTTTGTTTTCTCCAAGGGGTGCAAGGACAGAGGCAGTGGGGTAAATCCAGCTCCTGCCCTTTGGGAATTGCTGGTGCCTACAGCCCCAACACCAAGGGCAGCAGCGGGCGAGTGGAGCCCTTCCCCGTCGAGCAGGAGCCCTTTCCCTGTTCCCTTCTTTTGCCCAGAGAATGTGGGGGGAGGCAGGGTCCCCCTGTCACTCGTCGCGGGGCAGGTGAAGGGGGTGCCTGGCAGCAGGTTCCACCCATGACCGCAGCCCCATGCGGGTTTTGTGCTGCCAGCGCGAGCAGGGCACAAACTTTCCCAGCCTGGTCCAGAGCCTCAGCCTGGTGTTCCCCAAAAGGCAGAAAGAAGAAAAACAAAACAGAACCCCAAAACAACAACAACAAGGCGCCCTCCCGCCACTGCCCATCAGAGAGAAACCATGAGGGCTTTAACTTGTTTTGCCCCCACCAGTGGAAGGGGCTAGGGGCTCGTTTTGGTGCCAGGCACCAACGTTAGCACCTTTAACCCAGCGGCGCATCGTGCTGGCCTGGGCAGGGAGCGGGGCACAGCGGGAGCCGCCGGCGCCGCGCGAAGGGTTAAGGCGCCTGCTGGGCCGGGGGGCCGGGCCGGCCTTGCCCACTTATGCTGGGTGGGTTTGTCTGATCTTTTTTTTTTTTTTTTTCCTCCATTGGAAAACACAACTTTTCTTCTCTTTTACTTTTTTTCTTTTTTCTTTTTCTTTTTTCTTTTTTTTTTTCTTTTGGTGCCCAACTGGCAGTTCTGCAAGGGGATAAAGCACCCCGGGCCCCCCAACCAGCAGCCTGGGGTCCCAGGCGTGCTGAGCCCATCCTGCCACCCGACGGCACCGCAGGGACATGGGCGCAGCCCTCGCCACCTCCCTGCATGCCGTGGGAACCCCACCATTGCCTCCCTCCTCTCCAGGGGGGAATTTATTCAAAAAAGATTTTTCTTTTTGATTTTTAGAGTGATTCCTTCCTTCCCGCCACGGTGCCGGTTTGCATCGCCAAAGCAGGCGCTCGGCCAAGGGGAATCACCGGGGGGGCGGACGGGACACCCCGGCACCGGGACGGGGTGAAAGTGCTGTCAGCAACATGAGTCAGGGCGCGCGCACCCGGCAGCGCCACGCGCGCCATCCCCGTCGCGGTCCCCCCCGCCGCCACGCGCCACCCCCCGGGACGCCCGGAGGTCGAGCTGCGAAAAAGAAAGGCGGAAAGAAAAAAAAAAGGAAAAAAAAAGTGCGGCTCCTTGTGGTTTTTCTTCTTCTTTTTTTTAAATTCCCCCCACCCCCGGCAGCTCTGTGCGTGAAAAAAAAACACAATCCCGGTGACATCAACTTTATCAGAAGTTTATTTCTAAGAATCATTCACAATTTCCAAGCCCTTTTTTACTTCCTGATTTACAGATTCAATGCAAGTAATGATAGTGTTTCTCTGTTTCTCCCCCCTGCCCCCCCCCCTCCTCCCCTTTCTTACAACACAGGCTCACTGGAGGACCGGTATATAAACCAAGAGGAGTCCCCCAGTATGAACATGAATTTCTGAAAACCTCTCCTGCCAGCCTCAATCTCTAGTAAAGTTGCTCCCGGGACACAGCTCACAATGAAGTTCATGCCGGCAGGTAAAAAAAAATCTTTGCTGAACCTATTTCGTCCTTTCCCCCCCTGCTCCCCGGCTCCCTTTTCCCTTCCTCCCCCCGCCGCCGGTTTTCAACTTGGGGCATGTTGCAGCCGAACATGCGCACGCTCCGTCTGCAGCCGCTGCCGCTCGCTCGCCGCCCGGAGCGAAGCCTCCCGAAACGCTGCTCTTCCCCGGGGTTAGCATCCCTGGGAATTGGCAGGAGGCAGCACCAAATGCCTTTCTGGCGCGTTGCGGCCAACATCTGGACACTTATATAACTCGAAAGACTTCCAAAAAGGGTGTGGGGGGGAATCTTGACTTTTTTTTTCCTCCCCCCCTCTTTTTTTTTTTTTTGCTTTTTGCTCCTGTCGGGTCTCTGGATGCTGCAAAACGCAGGCGATTCGCACTTAATTAGCGACAACTAAGAAATCCCAGAAATGAGGAAGCTGCCAAGCGCAGCCAGGGCTTTGGATGGGGCCGCTCTGACCCCGGCGCGGGGCCGTCGCCGCAGGGCAGCGGCGGCCAGTGCACGTGGGCGCCCCGCGGCCTCGCTCTGCCCAGCGCCGGGACGGGCGCGCGTGGCGAGGAGGCCGCCGCCTGCACCAGAGGCGCCCGGTGCCCTCTCCGTGCCGACTGCAGCGCTGCCGAGCGCGGGCAGCTTCGGGCACGCGATTGCAACACAACCAGGTAAGTCCTTCCCTGGCTGGGCACGGGCGTTGCTGCAGCAAGGGTAAATAAAGCAGTTATTGTGCTCCCCGGGACCTGCAGCAACGCGGAGGCTCTTACATGTGCAGACAATTTCAGCGCTTGTCGGGGCGCGGGGACGCTGCTGGTGGTGCCAGGGCCCGCGCGGGGCGCCGTGGGGTCACCGCACTGCCAGGGCCCTGGCTGCTCCGCGAGGATGCAGAGCACGGGGTCACCGTGCTGCCAGGGCCCCGGCTGCTCCGCGGGG